GTTATATATGTTAAATATATGTTTGGTACATTGGAATGTTTCAGAAGATATTTTTAATGAACAAACCAGCAAAGAGTGAGTAAGAGAGCGAAAAAAAAGCAAAACAAGAAATGGAAAAAGAAAAGTAAAGAAAAACAAGTTTTACTCCTCTTCCATGCAGATCAAAAGTCATTAAACGATTTTTTTATGACCGACAAGGGTTTTTCTCTTCATTCTTTCGAATATCTTCTTATACTATTATTGTTATTATTATTTTCTCTTCGTTTATGTCCATATTGATTTTATAGATGTGTGGTTAAAGATTGCATCAGCAGCATCAGCGAGTCAATCGACATAAGAATGAAATTAATTTTCATCGCTTGTTCTTATTCTTTATTGCTCAAGAATGAATTTATCTTTATATTTCATTCATATTTTACCTATTTATCTCTTTTTCTGAATCTATTAACTTTCTTCATCTTTATGAAAAAGTTTAGAATTTCTTTATTTCTTGTTCTTGTATTGGATGGGATAGATATGCTGATATCCATTTCTAAACCGAGAAATTTGTTTATAATTTCTTCAATACTAGTTTTTCTACATTGCTTGGTGTCATTTTGACATTTTTCACGAGTTTTTGAGTTTTTGTGAATATTTTCCACGTGCTTTTGTTTATTTTTTGCTGCTATTGATAGTTATCAGTTGTATTTATCAAAGATCTGTTGAAATAACATCACTGCCATGTTTTTCAACACTTTAAGCTCATCACATCGCCAAAACTCATAGTTTTAGGTAGAAATTCAACAAAAAGCTTTTTGAGGTGAACGAAGGGTCTGAAACTATGAATTTTCACAAAATTTGAACATTCATAGCTTTAAACTTCGAAATTCAGAAATCCGTTAAAACTTCTAGAGCAACATACACACTTTTTTGGACAATTTCACATTTTTAAAGTTTATAAACTCAAAAATGCGCTCTAACCCACCAACAACAATGACTCCAAAACTTGTTTTCCTTAATTCTTTTTCTCATTCAAAACTTTCATGTTTGTTTAATGTAGGTGTTATTTATTTATTTTCATTTACTTTCATCTTACATTTCTTTTAATTTCTCACACAAGAACAACTTTTGATCAAATAATTAATTAGCAGCAAAACTACCCTGACTATATTTTACGTATATGTTGTTTGAAGATTATTTCTTTAACTCCAAATTATAAAAACAAATTTTTAAAAACAATCCAAAACATATGCTTGAGTTAAAAAGTATGGAGTTCAAGGAAATAGATTTTTTTGTTTAGGTATCTTTGTGTCTGTTTTGTTGTGAATTTATATCTTTTTTTTTTCTTAATTTTACAAATATCATTAATCATTTAAGTATTTTTTTTTTTCTGTAATATATTTATAAATACTAATGAATACAACTTAGTTTTTTATTTGCCCTTATAGCCACAATCGTTGTGAATATAGCACATGTGACAATACTTGGATTTATTGTGGTTATGCGGGATTTTTATTATAATATTTAATATGATTTTCGTCGCTCGCGAAACACCTTGTCATATTTACGTTTTGTTGGCTTTATTGTGGTTGTGAGGGGTGCATGATAAGCTACATATTATAGCAATGCACCCATCATACACCCCCAATACCTATTTTAGATCATTTTTTGTCTTTCAATTTCTGATAAAAATTCTACAATTACCATCATCATTTTATGATATACTTACAAATCTATTACTGTATTAAGGTTATGTATAGCAACTTTTTTTATCATCCTTTTGTGTCATTTAATAACGATTATTATTATTTTTTGATCAATTTTTTCTTGTAACTGCTATTATTGTTGAAATGTACGTATGAAAAAATATGTTTATGTGTCTTTAAGATTAGATATTTATTAATTTTGGATTTTTTTCTCTCTTTTTATTTGAATTTTTCTTAAGAATCTCATTCAAGAACAAGTATTGATATGCCAAAAAATAGCATATAATAGCTTTGTTCAAGAATAGAATTAAAGTTTCATAAATTAAGGATTTATTTCCTTAAAACTAATCGATTAGATGAATTTAAAATTATAGTAAACAACTCATAATTTTTGGAATGATTTCTAACTTGATTTTAAGATTGAAATATCCGAAATGTCAAGAATATCGAATTTTTTGATGGAACTTGATTGTTAAATGATGACTATTTTTAAATTTAAATATTTTCATCTCTAAATTGTCAAAAAGTTCGTACAGGAGTGAGTTTTTAAGTCTTAGAATGACTATTGGCACCTAGTTGATCACGGCTAAATCAAAAACTCAAAATGCCTTGATGGAAGTGACCATCTCCTCTGCAACACCACTAAGTCGATCACAAAGTGATCATCTGGTAGTCTTGACCCCTAAATATAAGATAGATTTTCAAAACAACTTCTGTTGCAAATATATCAATTTAATTCAGGTTTCCGATTATCAATAAGAAGATCTAAATTATAAAGTTTGCATGTGGAATATGAAATCGCTTAATTTTATATCAATTAAGCTATATAATGTCATACATATATTCATTTTTAGCTGAGTTATTCAGTTTATAAGCTTTTCTTAAATTCAAATAGGTTCAGTTAGGTCAATGTAGATAATAACTGGATTTTTTATGCATTGATGACTCGTTTTGTTGATGTTGTTGTCTCAACATTAATATAAGAGATTTTTTCTCAACATTCATCTGTAGATTTTGTAAAACGATAAGAAAATATATCAAAAATTGAGTTCGAATCTCAAAATTTCATGAGAAATAAGATTTTTGTAAGGATCAGTGTTGCAAATGTAGATGTCTACACTAGATGAAGAATGTAGATTCTTCAATAGTTTTCGTCTAGCTAAGAAACTTTCTTCATAAAGATCGATTCTACATGAAGATAGAAAATCTAATCTACACAAAGATTATTTCTACATAAAGATTCGATGTAGATGTCTACAATTCTACATTTTTTCTAGGTCTACATCAGAGAAGAATGTAGAATTGTAGACATCTACATCGAATCTTTATGTAGACAGAATCTTTATGTAGAAATAATCTTTGTGTAGATTAGATTTTCTTTCTTCACATAGAATCGATCTTTATGAAGAAATTTATGTCTCAGAATTTATCTGATCCAGACAAATCGCCAGAATGCAACACTGGTAAGGATCAACTTAATTTTGCAAGGATCACACATTTTTTATTACATGTAGAATTTTTTTGACGTGATTTTCAATAGAATGAATGAAAGCTAATCGAATCTGATTTTCTCCTGCTATAAAAATCTATTTTTGTCATATCAGGTTTATTATGTTGAATCCCATATTAGGAACAAATATTTGTGAATTTAAATTTCGGAAAAAAAATTTAAAAAATTGTGCTAAAATAGCGAAAAAAAATCGTTAACACTAAACTTGCTAATTTTATTGAAACCTCCCTGAAACTTTTATTTTTCAAAAATTCACAAGCTAGTCTAGATACACCAATACTACGTGATAAAAATGAAACATTTTTTTAGTTCTCAAAATAAATCAAATGTCCGTGAAACCTGATAATGAAATTCCTTTACATTTTATGTCATAAATTTTCTCGAGTAAGACAATCCCATTTCAAGGTGTTGCGTGAATAATTTAATCACAATGTAAGCGCAAAGTTGAGTAAAGCTAGTGATAAATTTCAATGAAACTTGTCAATCGAGTTTGCTGGAAATTGTGTAAATCATGTGCGAAGAGCTTGAAGGGGTTCCAACTTCGAATTGATAATTGGGAGAAATTTAGTTCAACTTGAAAAAATAATATGCCTTCCCGAAAAATAATTCATGAGGAGCAATGTCCGAATTTTTAAAAAAAATCACTTTCAATGACAAATTTTATACAAAATATTTAAAACAAATCAAAAGTTTAAAAATTGTCAATTGATTACCAAACAAAAACATTTTCCCTATCGAATTCCAATTAAAAATTTAAATCATATAATTTATTATCCATATTCATGAATAATGTAAAGAATGGTGGTCATAAATAATCATCAATTAATAATCAATATTTAAAAAAAATCAAAAAAAAATATAAATTAAGTTTTGTCATTCAACAGAAGAAAAATAAAAGCATTTGATTCAGTTTTTGGTGTCTTTTGAGATGTAGTAATTCAAGGGTAATAAAGGAGCTTTAAGAATAAGGTTCGGATCGCACTTAAGTCTTTAATGTCTGGGCTGACCATCTGCTTGGATTTTCAGAGAACTTTCCTCTATTTTTGTCATTTTTCAAAAATAACATTTTTTTTTGTTTTTCAAAAAATATCTGGTCACCTTATTAATTTTCCGTTTTTCGAACCTAGTTTTCTTAGAAAATGGTTAAAACCTTGGTCTATCCCGCTTTTTCAAAGCTTTAAACAGGACATGTCTGGCTTTTTGACCAAAAATCGGACAAAAACCGATAGACATCCTAAATTATGATGTGATCTTGGCACCTTACTTGACATCACAGAATAATAACACCCTTCTGCATACTTTAAGAAATAGAAAATTTTGAAGAAGTGTTAAAAATAACTTTAGATGTGAGTTCGAATCTCAAAACTTTTAAAAGAGTTGTATCAGTTAATAAATGATGTTCTTGAATTTTTTTTTTAATTTTAAATCCAATAATCTGACAAAATTTTAAGACACCAATCATATCCACACATCCATTCATCACTCATTCACACAAACAAAATATAAAAATAATAACAAAATAAGCAAATTTTTTCTAAGAAAATTGTTTTAAACTTTATTCAGTATTACATTTCCTACTTAATTTTTTTTTTTTCATTAATTTAATTTAATTTAATTTTTTGTTGTTTTCCAAAAAAGAAATAATTAGAAAAATAAAATGTGACAGAAACAAATAATGAAACTAAAATTATAAATTCATTCAATTAATTTGAAATAGTTTTCTTTTATCATTATTATTTTAAAAATCACAAGATAATTTCCAATTTGTATATTTAATAAAGAATTTTTTAAGTAATTTCATCTTCTTCGAACACAAAGAACATCAAAAAAAATGTTGAAAAATTAATTTACAGAATAAGAAAATAAGGTCAATGTCGATTATCGACGCTTAATCTGATGCTTTAAATGTCTGTTGGATCAATTAAAAGATTTTTTTTAAATGTTGATAAAATTATGATCAGATGTTGCTGTTTTGTGAGCGCGTCTTACAAGCTAGAAACACTCAAATCCATCAGAATAACCATCAATAGCCAACCAACTCAATTTATAAACAATAATAAAAAATTAATAGATTTTTTTTGTTTTAAATTATATTGCAATTCAGCTTAAAAATTATACATTTAGTGGCAGATAAAAAAATAATAAAAACAATTGGAGAATTGATAATTAATCTTTTAAATATTATAAAACTGAACAAAAAATTATAAACTTAACATTAAAATGAAATTCATAAGAAATATGATTTTTATGGCTTTAACGCTATTTTTGTTCAAAATTAATTATGTTTTTTTTTTGACACTGGGACGCTGCTTGTACGAAGTTTGAAGGAGGTTTTGGGAGGTTTTGTTTCTAATGATTTGAATGGGGTGTTGTCCCTGGTGTCAAGGGGGAACTGAAGGGTGGTCATGGTGCTTGATTTTGACGCGATTTTTGGGAGTTTAAAGCAAAATTCGCTCTAAAGCTGCCAAAACTCTGCTCATTTTGTCAAACTTCAACATTTTTTCAAAAATTGTCAAAAATAGTCTTTAAAAAAATTGCAAGTCATGCCAAACTCAAGCCTCACCCAATGAATCTCTCACAAATCTACCATCACATACTTTAAAATTTCAATTCCAAAAATCTTCCCAAGGGCATCAATTTTAGAATCAGCAATGAAAGACATGCCATTTAACATACCGCATGCATCCATCCACCAATCCACATGCCAGCATTTATAAACAGTAATCCTCAAACTGTTTACGATACACATTAGTACGAACATTCCATTAATGCTCCCCTTGATAAGCTAAAAAGAATTTCATCTTCATTCCACCTTTCATCAAATCAGAAACAAAAAATAAAATTAAAAAAATCGCAATTTATGAGGAAAAAAATCGATTTTTTGTTTGTAATAAAAATTCACTTAATAGATTCATCTGTTAATATCAGTACGAAACTTTATGTCTATGATGAGATTTTGTTTTTTTTTTTTTTTTCATTAGAAAAGAGAGATAGATGCCAAAAAATCAGTTTCTGCTTTTTTCAATTCTTTCTAAAAAAAAAACCTTGCTAATCACTAATTTTTATATATATTTTTTTTATATTTCGCAAAAAGGAGATTTTTTTTACTTTTTTTATCATTATTTCTTAGAGCATTCTTACATACTAGTACGTATTTTTATATCATCAATGAATTTCATTTTTTGTGGGGGTTCTAAGGGGGCTTAGTAGTTGATCTGACTCAATATTGAGTAAGATATCACCTTTAAATCCCCTAAATCACCCTCCAACTTACGTTTTTAAAATTACTTTTAAGTTTTTTATCAATCTGCTATTTTTTAAAATTAAAATTTTTTTTCTTCATTTCTATGTTCAAAAAATGATAAAGTTCCTGCATTTTTATGTTCTTTTTTCAATTTTTAGTTTTTTTCATCATTTTTTAATCATCCTTAAGATCAGTTTTTCTTCTTTTATGTTCACTTATAAATTATGTAAATATCATTAAATCATTAATATTATTTATTATGAATTTATTATTAATATTTTCTTTTATAACTAAATGGCCTTTACTTCTTCACATTTTTCTTTTAATTTCTTCAAAAAATAAAAGATTTTAAATGTGAATCTATAAAAAAAAATTAAAAGAAATCTTCTTTATGATAAGTCATTGCGTGCAATTTATTTTGAAAATCATGCATGATTTTTTTTTTTACTTTTTTCTGAGATTTTCGATTTTTTTAATACTTTTTTAATCATTCTTCATATCTTTTTTTTACACACTTAACACATGAAGGATTCATCTTTTATTTTTGTATCGCTTAATTACAGCATCAGCGTCAGCTTTCTATGCACTCTCAATGATCCTTGGGCTGGGGGGTCTGGTTGCACTATCTTGGATGTTACTCTGATTATTGACAATTTTCTGGAGACTCTTGATGTTATCTTGGTTTTATTTCATTTCAATTCTTATAGATTCTCATCTGTTCTTGTATATTCCAATAAGAATCTCTCCAAAATGGACGACCTTCGATAGCCATCATTAATTCCTGCATCATAAAGCAATGTTGCCATTTTTGCATCGAAATCTGAAGTTTGAATCCCAAAAAAAAAATCTCAAACCCATCCCAAGAGAATGAATGAATTTAAATATAAGAATTACTTTACAATTACATACGAGTGTGATTTTTTGTAATTATTTTTTTTGTGTATATTCACCTATTTAATGCATTTTTAATTACTCAATATTAATTATGACGGAATCATTTATTTACTTTTTTTTTTGTAGAAAGAATTAGATAGATAGAATATAGAAGAGATAGAGTAAGAGTAATTCAAGACTTGTTAAAGTAGTAAAAAACCGATTTATATTCTGAATGGATAGGATGGGATGAGAATTTATGAACTGACTTTACTGACTGCCTTTAAAATGTCCTGATTCTTATTATCCAATTGTCCCATCATTCCCAAATTGCCGGTTAATCCACCGCCTAATCCACCCATACCACCTAAACCTAATTTCAAATCATTTTGTACTAATGACGGATGATGCAAATGGCTACCAACTAATCCACCAACTCCATGATTTCCAAGATGTCCACTATGTGGTCCATGACCGTGAGAATTTTGTGATGATAATAGAGCTGCATGTTCTTGCTGCTGTTGTGCTTTGTTATGTTGCTGCTGTTGCTGTTGTTGTGATGATTTCATTGATTCTTGCTTCATTTTCTCTTGCTCTTCGCGCTCACGTCTTGCCTTTAATTTATATTCACACATATGCATTCGTTTGAAATAAGAATTATTGTGTATTGTGTGTCGAAGGAAATGGAGGAGAAAGAAGAGAATAAAAGAATTAATACAAAAAAAATTGTATACAAATCGAAAATGAAATAAATTTTAATTTAAATTTTTTTTTCTTCTCTTTCTTTGTGAGAAGAAAGAAACCATGAAAAGTCATAAATTTTGGAGTGGTCACAAACTTGGCTGAAGGATTGGGGTATCCATATGATGATTATTTGATGTGTGGGTTGATATATTGGGATTTTGTTGAGTTCTTTTACAATAAAATATAAAATCTTCATAGAAAGTAATATAGCTTTGAAGTTATATGGGTTCAAATCCTATAGATAGATTCAAAATATCCTCAAATGAATGCATTTGTTTTTTTTTTTGACGTTTATGACTAAATGTATATTTTGAAGGACAACTGTAGACTAAACTGAGTTCTAACGAGCTATCAAGGATAAAAATCGCTAGCTGCCACAAAAACCAGCAACCGTCTTTAAGAATCGAACCAAAAATCACAATCCAAATATTCAAAAATATATCCAAAACATTCCTTGCCAAAGCATCTCATATGGACACCCTCTTTCCCAAAAAAAAGAGTAAAAGATCAAGAATAAGAAGAATCCCGAGACAAGACAACAAAAAATAATAATATTTGAAGCATATAGCAATAAAAATGTGCGTGGGACATTTTTCTTGACTCTTTGTCGTCCTCTTCTTTTCACATATTTCGTTTTTCTTTGTCTATGTGTGCTTGTTTGTTTGTCCACAAACATTATTGCACTACATAGCTTATGGCGTAGACAATAAGGATCATCATAAAATGTTCATATTCATTGTATGCAAATATTCTCTGTTGTCGTTCCACATGAAAGACATTTTTTTTACAATTTGCACTTTATACATGTCATAATATGAATGAATATGCATACACAGCATGATAGGAGCTAATGATAATCGGTCTACGAAGTTTGTGACCATTGAGGACACACAAAAGCTGACCAATAGTAATAATCAGCTATTGACTATGCAAATTGTTTCCATATATGTTTTTTGTGTATGGTGTCCTCAAACCTGCTATGACTGCTACTTTTTTTTTCTAGTTATATACCTGTTCATTGATCTCTTTGACAGCACGCAATTCCTTTTTTAATTTCATGCGGCGATTTTGGAACCTGTTTGAAGTAAAAATAAAAGACAGAAGTTGAAATGAGAATTAATACAAATATTATGCAATATAATTGGTGTAATTAATTAAATGAATTTATTTCTTATTTTACTGGCTGACTTGTGATTTCCTACGAACGATTGCAAACTTTTTTTTATGCTTCTGTGAAAATTCAATTGAGTGCAATGAGTTGTTGGCTTTGAAGTGGCCGAATTGAGAGTTTATAAAGTTGTAATATGCTTAATTGGGAATTCAGGGGAGTGAGTAATTAAAATTGAAGTAGTTTTAATGAGAATACATGAGCAGGTGGGTGCTAGCTTGATATGAAGCCGAAGATTTTCAGATTTTTAATAAATTTTTCAATTATTTAGTAGTGTTCACACTTAATTATGATTATTGTATCAGCCATCGCCAATAATGACTTCCGATGCTAACTCAACCCCCTGCAACATACTCTAGAACCCCTCATCAATCAGATAATTGAAGAAATTTCATTATTCACCCACTATCTTCGACCTTTCTGCATCAATAGCCATCATAAAATAAACCTTACAGACTGAAAAATTTCCATTTTAAATATCCATCAATTGATTATTCCATGCATTAATTTAAAATAAATGCACTTATTTTAATTGATTTAATTATTAAAAATTGAAGAATCGAAAGAAGAAAATAAAAGTTCTAGACTATTTAATTCAATAAATGGTTCAATGACCTCCGGAATGAGGTTTAACAAGCAATGAAAATTTCTAACGAGTAATTATCGAGTAATTCGTGAGAGTATCTTTACGGTAATTATCGATTAATGTTATGATAATTATTAATAATCTTAATTTTAAAGCTCATGTTTAATGGGTGCGTTTTACAAGTAATTGCTTGTATTTGATTATTATCTGTGAGGTATATGGGATGGATGATGATGGCTAATGATGTCTGATGATGATTTTTATAGGAACATATAAGCAGCTCAAAATACTGAGCTGTAATGTATTGGTAGCGCATTAATTTAAACGCTAGGAAGCTGTTCTTTGCAACACGTTAACAGTTATGGGTTCGAATCTCATCAGAGAATAAAATTCAATTTTAATAAACATTACTAGAGTAGTAGTTGGATTCTCCTTATTAAATTCTCAACTTAATATCTTTGACTCAATAAAAATGCAGCAAGTTTGACATTTCAGGACTTCCTAGAAGTAGTCCTCCTAAAAATATAGCTTCCTAATTCCCAAAGTAGAACGCAAAGCACTCGATTTAGTCACGAAATAATTTTTCTAAAAATATTCAAGTTACTTACCAAATCTTAATCTGTCGTTCTGTTAGACATAGTGCATGTGCGATTTCGATACGTCTTCTGCGTGTGAGATAGTGATTAAAATGAAACTCTTTCTCTAACTCCAATGTTTGGAAACGTGTGTATGTTTGACGACCACGTCTTCGTGGACATCCATTTGGACCTAAATAGAATAAGAATACGAGAATAAATGAAAACTGCTGTATATATATATAGAAAAGGTGCGTGTAAAGTAAATAATGTTCGTTGCTAAATGAGGAACTTTCTCTTTTTTCCATTCATTGTTTTCTGGTGTCGATGAATAAGTAAAGAAAGCAGCATGTCAAAAAAAGGGTTTATTTACTTAATTCAATGACAAATTTTTTTTTTCGCATGAAATTCTCTCCTTTTTTGTTGTTGTTACGTAAACGACCGAAAACTTTCACATTTTAAACAAAAAAAATTTCTTTTCTGTTCCTTCTTATCATTCAAAGTGAAGGAAAAGCGATTTCACTTTAAGGAGCAGAAAAAGGGTTTCTCTTTATCTTTTTGTTCCTTATTTTTTATAGTTTTTACGTTCTTTTTACTTTCTTCTTATTCTTCATACTTGTTACGGCATGCAATGTTTTTTTATTTCTTTTTCTTTTCGCAACAGAAAATAACGTTGATGGATTGGTATTGTCAAGGATGTGCCCAAAACTTTTTTTTAGCATACAACATTATGTTTTTGTCTGTAATTTAATTTTTTATGACTTTTTCTTTGCCTTTTTTGTGCTGCTTTTTTTTTGACAGAAATAAAATAAGAAGAAGTGAAGTTTTTTTGTGATACGGAACGGTATATCTAGGATTGTAAGTAACGGAAACGCATTTTTGGTAACGGGAATTGGAGAATATTGAATGATTTTTTGTCGAAGGTTACAAAAGGTGTATGACCTTTTGGTTTGAGGATGTTATTAGCTTCTATGTGTTAAGTATGAATCATTCCCGAGTGGACAAAACTAGTTGTTGTCCATTATTTGATAAATGTTAACTAGCCATTTGACTTGTCAACACTTCCACGATAATAAAACTTGACATAAACTAGACATTAACTCGACATTTGTAAAGTTATGGTTTAAAAAAAAACCGTCATTTTAAATTTCTAAAATATTTCCCACCATTTTAGACTTAAAAAAAATGCTTAAAGGTAGAAAGAAACGCGAAAAATCAAAATTCTTAAATTAAAGTGCATTTTGCTGATTAGAAAGGTGTAAAACATATAAAAACATTGCTGGTTACTTAACTACGACTATTAAGGTAAGTTTTAGTGATAATAAGATTAAGGAATGAGTTTTTTGCAAAAAAAAAAGCATATAAAATTTTCAGAAGTTTTTTGATGATTTTGTAAAAACTTGCATAGATTTTAAAATTAAAATCTTTATAAAAGTGTCAATATCGTCTCTTTGAAACACAAACTTCATTTTAACGATAAAAACATGATTGAAAAACCCAATTATAAAAAGATCCAGATGGGCGATTCCATGCGTGAATTTTTTTTTCAACTTATAATTTATAAATATTTCCTTAACTATCTTCATTTAACAATACATTAAAGAAGTATTTCAGTATTATTATGATATTTATCAGAGATCGAAGCCGATTTTTTCGGCTTAACACAATTTTTGATTTTTTTGATAGAAAAAAGCCATTTGACACCCATTTCAAGTATTTAAATTGAACTTTACATGCTTTACTATGATTCTGTGTAATATTTTGTCAGCATGTAGCTATATTAAGCTCTGAATTTCAATTTAGCCGATTTTAAGCCGAAATTTAAGCCGATCGGCTTAAAATCGGCTAAATTGAAATTCAGAGCTTAATATAGCTACATGCTGACAAAATATTACACAGAATCATAGTAAAGCATGTAAAGTTCAATTTAAATACTTGAAATGGGTGTCAAATGGCTTTTTTCTATCAAAAAAATCAAAAATTGTGTTAAGCCGAAAAAATCGGCTTCGATCTTTGATATTTATGCATTTTAGTAAGTAATCTTTTAGTTTAATATGTCTAGCAAAAAGATATTTTTTTAAGAAGAAGATCCAGAATAAAAAATTAATTGTTAAAAATAATTTTTCTTAATTCAGGTATTAGCTGCTGACTAGGATCGTGGACTTGTAATTGCTAAAGAACGTCACTTTCTTTTGAAAAAACAAAAGTTGTAAGTATGGGAAAGTACAAAGTGCTTAGTGAACTAAAACGTAAACGTAAGAAGCAAAGTGTTACTAATGACTCGGAAGTGATACCAAAAAAAGAATTGACCTCATTGCAAGAAAAAAATTTAATTAATAATAATAATGAAGTAAACTTAACGTCATGCGACAGTGATTTGGTACAATATAAAAAAAACAGTAATTTTGTGCAAAAAGAAGATCTTAGTGATTATGAAGAAAATGAAGGAACTATTGCGAAATTAAGAAATTGGTCAATTAAGCATAATATTGATCGAAATGCAGTTTCTGGTCTCCTCCACATATTAAAAAATGATCGATATCCGGAAATGCCTCTATCATATAAAACTTTACTGAAAACTCCTAGAAAAACATCGATTTTTGACGTTAATCCTGGTAAATTTGTTTATTTCGGAATTAAAAAATTCTTGCTTAGTGCATTAGAAAATACAAAAGATACAGTTGAAACCGTTAAACTTGACTTAAATATTGACGGCTGTCCAGTTTTTGATAATAGCAAAGAAATAGGCACTCTTTGGCCAATTCTCTGTAGATTCCAAAACTTAAACTCGGAAGTTTTTCCAATTGGAATGTACTGTGGCAAGAGCAAACCAAATGATTTCAATGAATTATTAAGACCCTTTGTTGAAGAATTTCTAATTCTTCAAGATAATTTTGAATTTAATGGAAAAAGTGTAAAATTAATTATTCGATCGTTTAACCTAGATGCTCCAGCAAGAGCATCAGTTTGTGGTATAGTTGGACATAATAGCTTTGCTGGATGCCCGAAATGCATAGTTCAAGGACAGAGAGTTAAAAATCGAACTGTTTTTCTTAACCATTTCCATAATTCAAGAACAAATGTGACTTTCCGACAAAAAGTCCATCCCGAGCATCACAAAACTGAGAGTATTTTAGAAAATATACAAAATCTTGATATGGTAGAGGCATTTCCAATTGATTATTTACACAACATTTTACTTGGAATTGTAAGAAGAATGTTGGACATATTATTTGGCATCAAAGGTCTTTATGCCTGTAATACAAAAACAAATATTAATAGTTTAATCGAAAAAGCTATTGCAAAGCAACCGTCAGATTTTCACAGAGACCTTAGAAATATCGAGAAATATAAAATGTGGAAAGGAACAGAATTGAGAACATTTTTAATGTTTATTGGACCTGTCGTCCTTTTTTCAACCATTTCTAAGGAACATTATAGAATCTTTATGATTCTTCATACTGCATTTGCAATTTTAAAAGACAAACAGTTTTGTCGTGAATTCAATTCTATTGCAAAAAAATTACTGCTTCATTTTGTAGATGAATTTGAGTCGTGCTACGGATCTGAATATATAACGTATAATTTTCATTTGGCTACTCACTTAAGTCAAGATTGCTTAATTTTTGGACACTTAGACAATTTCTCTTGCTTTGCTTTCGAATCTTACATAGGTAAAATTAAAACTTATGTAAAAAGTCCATATCGTCCATTAGAACAAATTTCAAATAGATTAATTGAAAATTTTGAAGTCTCTGGCTTGAAATGTAAAGGAAATTATACAATTGTAAAGTTAGATCATAAAATGGATGAAATTTACTATTCAAAAATATTCATAAACCAGACAATTATTTCTTGCAATGATAATGATTGCTATGTTCAAACAATTTGCAATAAAATTTTAAAGATTCAAAAGTTTTTTAAAAAAAAAGAAGAGATATATATGTGTGCACTTGAATTTACAAATGTTAGCAACATTTATTCACTCCCAATAGAGTCTAAAGATATAGCTGAGTTTAAAGTCCAAACATCCGAAATTAATGATTGTGTTCTAAATGTTGAGAAAATATACAGAAAATTTTATGTCATAGACATAAAACATAATGTAGCACTTTTTTTCCCATTATCTCCGATATAAAACTTAAAAATAAATACTGCCTTATTTTTGTCTTTTTTTCAACAATTTTTTAGGAGTGTAATGAGTTTTGCGATAGTAGAATTTATCACTGACAATACTTGCTCTGTGGTTCAACAATCATGGCTTGATGAAACAAAAAAAAAGTGCCGTTTCCCTCCCAATAAGCATTTTTCCAAGTCCATTCAGAAAGTCATCAATCCAGAAAAAGTCGCAACTTGGAAAATTTATGATGTAAACATCATTCATGAAAATATAAGTAAACAAATCATTTTTTCCAAATTTAGGCTTAATAAATTATAATTTTATATTTTTATTGTTTTTTTTTTTATTTCTAGATGAATATGAAGAAGCTAATGAATTAGCAAAATATACATCTGAGTTTGGTGATACGGAAGGAGAACTTACAGTTAAAATAGAAAAAGAGAACAAAAGAAAGAGAGCTATTTTCGGTGAAACTTTGGATTTAAGAGCAGAAATGAAAGTAAGCAATGAATAAAAGTTAATTTTAGCATGTTTCTTATATTTGCTTAAGATAAGAATATTTAAATCAGATTGTGACAAAACCAAATCATAAGTTAAACAAAATTTTCAAACATTTTTATTACGTTATGATTCAAATAAAATAAGTAAATTTACTATAATTACATTACTTATTGAATCGATTATATTTTCATCGTGGATTTTTAAAACACAAGGAACAATTTTTAAGTTTTATAGAAACTGCAAATGTCTTGCAAAAAGATAACATTCCAATTGTAATCAAAATCAAATATTCGAGAAATTCGAATTCTTTAAAATGTTTGAAATTATTTTACAGTCAAATATCGAAGACTTCGATTGTGACACTCTGATTTAGACAAATTGATCATCACGTTTGGAAGTTAAATATTTAATTTTCCGGTTTATTTATTTTACGTTAACTTGTTGCGAAAATTAAATGCTAATCGGCAAATGAAAAAAAAAACTAATTTATGCAGGGTAAAAAATATGTAAGATTCATCGATACGCGATATGTATATGTGTTTTTTTTTTTCATTTTCATTTTTTTATTTACTTTAAAAGTTAATATGTAACAAATTATAGACTAATTTTATGATTCTAAATACTTTTTTTAACGTTAATTGTAGAAAGCTAAGGGAGATGTGGCAAACTCATCAAATTTTTCACAGCAACAGAATATTGACGATGACACAATTATCAACGACCTTAAGCAAAGTGACGATTTTTTGATTGAATCCTTTCCATATGATGGAATAGAAAATGAATTTATTCCTAATCCAATCGAACGTTTGGAAATAGATCAAGATTCCTTTATTATTATGGTAAGTTTTTATTTAAATTTGATATTACTTAAGTTTTTAGCGCATTTTCCTTAGAAATAATTCGCTTAGAGGTCTACTTTGGCTTGCTAGCGCCTCAAAAACTCGTAACTTGAAGTACTTAGAGATTTCTAAATAATGTAGGCGTTCACATATTTCTTTTCCTTATTTTCTCTTAGTTTAAAAACTAATATGTTTTTTTTTTATCAAACAACATCCTGGTTTTTAGTTTTAGGCATGAATTATATCAAACTGGATCATGTTGTAAAGTTTCGAACATAACATAAATGCAGAATGCACATAATTCATTTTTACTAATTTATGTGAGGAAAATGCGCTTAGTTCGTTCATTCACATCTGTAACGCATCTTCTGTAGTTTATGTAAAGATTATAATTATGTTTAATAAGAATAAATATTTGTTATATCTTCTCATGCAATAGGAAGTGCGAAAATTAATTAATGAGGCAAAAGTAGAAATATTTCAAAAAATTGATGAGGTCTTGGACGAAGTTAGAATCATTAATATGCGGCTTGGACATTCTCCACTAAAAAAATTCGAAAAAATAAAAAGTACAAAAGCTTTTAACTCTTTTATTGAGGTGATGAAAGTTGAACAGAAAAAAATTAAAATGGTAAGTTAAATAATTTAAAACTATTAATTTTCCAATTAAATAATATTTTTATGTTTTATTTTAGATACAGGAGCTCAAATGCTTGCAAGATACAACAAATAGTAAAAACACAAAACATGGGAAAATTGCCACGTTAATCGAATATATGTTCACTCCGAAGTTTATAATTAAGCGGCTTAAATGGGGAGAAATGAATGGGTAAGTCTTTTATTGTTGAAAGTAATTACTTAAATATGAAATTAATAAATTATTAATGCAGTTAATAATACCACAGTTTAATAATTAATCAAAATGCAGTTGAGATTTTCGAATGCCAATAGTTCAAGAAGGGAAACAAGATTGTACATACAACAGTTTAAAAAAAGATGAATTATAGAAATTTTTATAATAAATTAATTCTGGCTTGTCAGCTTGTAGAACTTTTTCTAGAATTGATCATTTATATCAAATATAGTTATTGGCGTAGACAATGTTAAAAATGGTCGCAGCAAAATAAAATTATTGGCGCAGTTATGAAAAAGTAGCCGAGTTAATAAAATTATTTTTTTGGCAATTTTCTTTAATTTTCAACCAAAATATAGCATAAACATCACCAACAAACACTTATAAGTGGCTAAAATTAATCAAAGTGTTGTATATTGGCTGAAAATTACCAAAAAAGTTAATTTTATTTACTCGTTTACTTGTCTAAAACTACGCCAATAATTATATTTGACATAAACGACCATTTTTTAAAGCAATGGGACATCTTAGATGAAATTTTTTACTGAAACTGAAAATTCACTGGATTTATTTTTTTTTTGTGAATTTTTTTAAAGCCTCAATGAACCATTGAGGAGATATTGTCATTAGAAAATGTCATGAAAAAAACATTTTTTTTTTGTGTATGAATTTGCTTGCGCCAATTTTACTTTTTTTACCCTATTATTAAAAGATTTAATTCGAAATTATTTTCAATTCCATTTTATATTTTATAATTCTAGACAACAGCCATCCGATCGGACATTTTACTTAGTCAACTACCCAATATTCATCGAATTCGGCAGGGCTTTGTTAGAAACTGCAACACCTAAGGAAATTCGCACTTCTTTCCAGGTGTATTTTAAGCATCGTGCTAAAAAATTAGCAGTTTAATAATTCATTAGAGAAGAGTTTTAAGAGAAAACAAAGAAAATTGAGTAATTCATTAAAGATTTTATTGATTATCATTAAGCAAAAAATGAAAAACGAATTAAGCTATGAATAAATAATATGGGTTTTTTTTTAAAATTAATTACAGTCAAAAATTTAACAAATTTTAATTTTATAATGCGAATAATGAAAACTTTAAATTAACTAGACATTTATCTTATAAAAATGTTTAGTTAAAAGGCTAGATACCAGCCAGTTAAAAGTCTCTTTAATTATTTTATATATTTCACTAGACAATGACTAGACACACATATAATGTGTATGGCTAGTCATATGGAACGTGCAAAATATGTCATTAGTCGTCCCTATGTCAAGTAGCAAAGGCTAGTTAATGGATAGTTACTGGTTATAATAAGGCAGGTCAGTGGTAAGTTATTAACTAGTACGCTGTCCACCCGGGATTTTCACAAGTTTGAACTGATGGTGGTTCAAATCCTCTACTATACAAATAATGCTGGACACTGGCATTGCTAGAAGGTTTCTAAGGTCCGATGTAGCTCTAATCAAGCTCTAAAAGCAACATTAGATGAGTAATAAAATAGCTATTGATCAAATAAGATCATATTGTGCTATAATCATTGCCACACGTCAGTATTTACCCCTTAACCCCCCAAAAGTAAGCATATTGCAAAATTTCTTTTATGATCTGTTCCATCAATGTTTATTTCCATTTCCTATAAAAACTCTAAAATAGAAATGAAAATTGCGACATAAACCATAAAATAAAATGTATTTGTTGGAATACTAAACGATTTCGATCAGCATTTTTTTCCTATGTATATTTGCGGTACTGACAAATTTTCATATCTCCCAAAAAAAAATTGTAAATTCACTGCAGTGCACACAAAAAATTTTTTAATCTCCATTTATAATAACTTTGAATTAAATTTTGTTTTTTGTTCCTTCGTTCCCTTCAATTATAAAATTTTTCATGCGGTGATGTTGACTGTGCACAATGTGCAGCATAAGATATGAAAACAATGTGTACATAAAATGAAGGAAGACAGGGAGGAAAAAGAGAACGGTTGCTAAGCAACCGAACCGCATTATTGTCGCTCATTCACCGTCGTCCGATGATATGAAAAAAATGACTCAAAAAACAATTCTTTTACTGCTTCTGCTGTGCTGCACATGAACGAGAAAAAAATTATATTGCCATTTTTTTCTGATGCTGCTTCTCTCGTTCTGAGCATTTAGTTCAATGAACAGTAAAAAAAATTTTTTATATATTTACGGAACATTTTGTTTCTGTTTGTAATGGAGGCAGGGGAGTTTGAGGGGGTGCTATGGGAGTTAAGGTGGTCAAATGAGGTTTAATTCGAATAAATGAGGTTCATTGAAGTATGATAAGGTCCAAAGTGGTTCAATAAGGTCTATTTAGGTTGAAATAAGTTCTTAAAATCCAAATTATGTTCATTAGGGTCCAACATTCATAAAACAACCAGTAAATCATTGAAAAATCAATTCCGAACCCCCCAAAAAATCCTCACAGCTCCGCCACTGTCTTCTCTGACTCACAATCATCTCCCCGTATTTTTTACATTGAGAATGAGGAAGGTGTATGCCGATGCTGACACAAAAAAAATAATTTTATATTTAACACTCATATAGAGATTTTTGTCATTTCTTTAATGGAAAAAGTCGTTCTTTTTTTAAAATGACTTTATATTTAATTCCATCTTAAAGATTCTCGCCTTTTTAATTCCATAGTTGCCGAAAAGGTGAAGAATTTATTGCTTCAATGTTAAATCCTAATTTATGGATATTCTCATCTTTCCTTCATCTCCTTCTCATTTTTTTTAATGGCATCAGCAGTGTGCACAGTCAACGATATTCAGTGTAGATAAAGTAACAATTTCTTGAGCTTATGAAGTTTATTGGATGTCTTTGAACATTATTTAAGTTTGATGACGTTCATATTTGGTGTCATCTTATTGTGCATTATTAATGAGGAGGACTCGATAGATAATTTTACATTACTTTATGGCAATTAAGGTATAATGTGGAAGTATGGGAATAAATTGGATAAAAAAATATTATTTTTGGGGTTCTGTGGATGAAAAATTAAATGAATTATGAATGGGAAGTGGGACTTAGTGAGCATGCTCATTAGATACTTAAGGAAATGCTGGAAAATTAAATCAATAAATTTTTATAATTTTTTTCTTGTGGATTTTTTAAAGAATTTTGGTCCAGAGTATCTTTTGATGATTCTATGAGTCTAATATAGTCAAATTGCATTTTTTTGAAAGAATGTTGAAGCTATGAAATGAAATTCTGAACCTAATCGGATGCTAGTTATCCACAGGACCACGATAGTCTACCAAACTAACTTGAGGTGAACCATTAAGGTCAATATGGGTTGTTTGAAATTTATCAGGGATTTTATTTGAATTAATGGCGAATTATAAAGTCTAACAACCAAACTTAATACTTTCTTACTCTACAACTTCCTTAAAAGGTGCGTAAGGGCCTTATTCATTGCAACTAAAGACAATTCAACTTTAAAATAGTTTTGTAGTTGCATTTAGTTCAACATTAACAAACCTAGCTCGCAAAACACCAATAATCATCATCATTTCCCTCCCCAATCTTCTTCATTACTCATTCATGCCAAAAAGCAATCTATTTCTATTTCTCATCTATTTAAAACCTCATTTCTGTATTCATATCGTGAAAGACAACATAAATATCAACGTCAAAAAGCTATAAAAACCATCCCAATGGGACACGATCGGAAGCAATTCAAAACCGCGTTCGAGTTATTTTTTTAAAAAAGGAACAAACATTATTCGCTTAATAAACCAATTTTTATAGTCATGTGAATGAAATGTTCATCTCCACATATTTGTTGGATTTTGCGTGGCGTTAATTGCCCAACTTATTTCAACAGTTATTCGAATACATCAAGTCGATTGGAAGTGAATTTCGTTCATGTTATTATCCATCATCGAGTCGTTAATTGCGATATTTAATTAGATTTTTATAACTTTTTAAAGAAAGCATTTTTTTGAATTTTTCTTTTCACATCAAAAAACGAGTAGAGTCGGCATCTAACACTTACTATAAGCTATGCGGTATGTATATTTAACTACATCTTTATGTCCGCATTTATAATCAAGTAAAACAAATTTTGTGTGTTTATTAATCTACATAAACAATTCAGTCTTAACATAAGAAGAAGAAAAATCGATGTAAATATTTATAAGCTAAATACAAGCTTGGTGATTAATTATTCAATTTCATCTTCTCTCCCTCTTTAACGAATCGAGGATCTTCAAAAAAATGTTAGTATAAACATTCGTCAAATCGAATCTCTTTCTTCTTTTTTTTCAAATACAATCTTTACTGAATGCTTAAATAGCTTTTTAGTGAGTTAAGTTTATAACTTCAAAATGAATACTTAACACGAGTCTTAATGAAGCTGGAGAATTGATTTTTTAATTGGATATTGAGTGGCGCAATGGCATTTTTTCAGTATTATGTTGAAATTTGATAGAGTTATGAGGGTTTGGATTAGTCGGTTTGGGGGTTGCGTAGATTAGGAACCTGAAGTCAGTAAAATCAACCCAGCGCCATAATATGTCCTCACATCAACTCCTGTTTCCAGAATAAAATGCGCCTATGTCTAACAATTCTAATTCAAACTCTACACAATTACTTCATTTACAAGCTTATTAATATTTATTTTATATGTGGCGTAATATGACTATTAAGTATAATATACACACCACATACGCAGAAGCAAACGTTGTGCTAAGAGTTTTAATAAAATTAGTCATTATGTGACATTTATAATATTGCAAAAAAATGTATGCTGAACAGCAACATTGTTGTGTAGTTGCTAATTAGAAAAAAGAAGTAAATGAGAAAAAATGTGTAAAGATTCAGAGTCAGGATGTGACAATTAGTACGGGATGTTTAATAATTGTCGATTTGAATGGCTAGAATAGAATTTATTGATTGATTCTGATAAAGGAAGGTATGGATTATTAGATTTAATCAAGATTGAATCGGATGGGAATGGAATGGAGTTACAATGTTGCATGAGATGAGTATTTTGTGCTGTATTTTAGCCAAGGAGTGAATTTTATAGTTTCTTGACATTAGATCATCATTTTTGAGCTATATTTTGATTGCTAGGATATTATTTGAGTGTAGTGGCACTCTTTTTGTTCCGCAGATCCCCAATTAATCTATCAAACTCCCTGTTATTTTTGATGAACCTCTATTGAATCTCCAGACCCTACTCTACCTTCAAAATGGTTTATTTGATTTGAAATAAGCTACTTTTAACTCAATAGACAGTCATCTCTTTCTAAAATAGTTCCAGTACCTTAACCTAGTCACCTTCAACTCTATACACTTCAATCTAGATGCCAAGCCTAATCCAACCTTCTCAACCCTTCATGATCCTCAAATCCCTCCCAAAACATAACTCATCAACCCATTATCATATCAACAAAAGTTAAAGGCAAAGACCCCGATATTTACAATACAATTCAATCCAATAATCTGCATCGTTAGCATCATTTGTAATTGCCATACTCATAAACATCCACTATGCGCACATGTGTGCCTACAATATTATTAAAATCCACCGCACACATGTGACTTTGTAAAAATGAGGAAAAGAAGGCAAAAAGCTATGACAAGTCAACAACAAAAGTTAAGTTTAGTGGAATAAATGACATTCAAAATGTGTCGAATATTATACGCTTTAAGATAATTCTTTTTTCGGCACCTTAGGAACGAAAAAAGAGGCAATTACTGCCATTAATGCCATTATAATAAATTACGCAAGAAACAATATGGATATTTGGTGTCTCATGCCAAACAACGTTGATTTCTCTTCTTCATGTTCTCCTACAATTTTTATTTTTATTTCTATTTTTCTGTATGTAGCATGTACACATTCCATCCCTAAAATTTGAAAATTAAATTTATGGTAATTGGATTATACCCTCTATATCAGATGTATTAAATTGTGTTCTATTGTGTACTGAGCAGCGGAGAAAAAGAAATGAATGAGAATAAATTTGAGG